ACACAAACATAAGAACATTAATTTTACTAAATTCACTTCTGCAGCTTTAATAAGCTGCAGAAGTGAATTTAGGCTTTTTACCGTTTCTGATTTAGTGCGGGACTCGTTACAGAAAACGACCTGGCATCATGCGCCTTCACAACACAACGCAGTGCCAAGGAATAGTGACACAACCTGCTTGTAATCATTAAAACAAAATAATTTACAGGTTCCTTCTGACCTTGGTGCCACAGTCTCTACACTTCATAACTTTTATTGCCCTGTCCTTCACAATGCTCTTGGATTAACGTCCATCTCCTTCTCCCCATAAACTGATTTGACCAGTTTTACTTTCCAGAAAACTTGCGTTACTCGGCTTCTTTCTCCTTAACACCATCCTCCTCCTTCAAGGTGTTCTCTGGTCTAGAACACTCTCAGATGGACTTTTCAAACGTTCAGGCAAAATCTTGCTGCACACAATACAGACGCTAAGCTAGCTAAGATGCTACGCGCTTTGTTTCTCTCACTCCTCCGTCTCAGCAACAAAAGAAACCGTCCAGATGACCTGACTGAACTGTGTTGGAGAAGTTCTAATGATTGAATCCAGAAAGAACTCTGGCTAGCTCATTTATACCATGTAAACATTTTTTTAAGCCCACCTCTAAAAATAATCAGAATCAAGAATTGATAGGAACTGGAATCAAAATGAGGAATCAGAAGCAGAACTGGAATCGTTCAAATTCAAACGATGCCCAACAGTTGAATCTGCTGCTTCAGGAAACAAATAAAACTAAATGATTTCATTTGACTTTAGAAACCCTCTCCATAAAAGACGGACCTCCATTGATCTTCTGGTTCCTTCTAGTTTTCTAGTCCCACAACATGATGCTGCCACCGCCCTGCTCGTCTGTGGAGACGCTGCTCTGGGGATGTTTGGAAGTGTCGGGTTTGGATCATAAATCTTTTGACGTGGCAGTTCTGCGTGCTGGGACGGTGACATGGACCGGAGCAACACCACGCCGCAGGGACCGTTCCTTCTTCAATTATCGTTTTGTTTGTGGAGACGGGAATCTCCCATGGCTGCTGCCATGCTGCTCGCCTAACCGTGAAAATAATCCCAGATTAAAAACAAGGGAAGGATCCTGTACCAGAACCAAACTGCTGATTGGACTTTCCAGCAACAGAGACAGGAAGTAGATCTAACTAACAAAACAGCTGCAGGGCAAAAAGTTTGAGTTTAACTCATAAAATCAAGATATAAATAATATTCATGTGTTCTAAAACCTACAGACCTGACTCCAGGTCAGCTCCAGACCTTCAGGAAGGTGACCCAAACATCTCTGAACCAGGCAGACAAAGAGCCTAACAAGCCTCCACTGTGAGCACGAGTAGTTCCAGTCTAACCTGCAGCAGATCTAAGAACAAACCAGACCTCTGAAGCTGTGAGCTCCACGCTCAAGACATTTTAGACCCGATGAAGACAAACGTCTTCAGGTCACAAGTCCACATGTTTCTCTTCTTTAACCTCTTTTAGACTAACACTGGCCTGGACGACTGAGACTCTTCACCAGCATATGCTCATAAAGTCCCCCCCCCCCCCCCAACACACTCAGAACTAAATGAAACAGCTGAGAGGTGCTGAGACACACAAGAACATCACGCTGAGTTTTAAGTCGTTCTGTTCTTTGATATAAACTCTCTGAGCTGATAAAACTGGAACAAACAACGAACCGTGTGTTTTTACAGCAAGAAAACCTCAGATAACCACACACACACACACACACACACACACACACACACACACACACACACACACACGCACGCACGCACACACACACACACACACACACACACCACTCTGCTCGGCAACTTCCTGTTGACTCCAATTCAGATTTGACTGTAAGCAACTGAAAGTGACTGACAGCTGCTGTGTGTGTGTGTGCGTCTCTTACCAAACGCTGTGGGTGACATCTCCTGCATGATGGCTCTGTACTCCAAGTGATGACGACTCTGATTGCTGGGACCTGTACACACACAAACAAACACGATCAGAAACACACAGGACCCGTTTCCTCCAAAGTTCTGTTCAGAGTCTGACTCGGAACCCTCTCAACATCGACTCCAGGGCCAAAAAAACCCAAAAACAAATGCAATAGAAGCAATAACTTTTGTGCTCATGTCTGAGGCAGGACAGCACGGTGGCACAACTGGTAGAGCTGCTGCCTCTCAGCGAGC